TCAACTTGTCTCACAATGTTGTCAGATAGATGCAAAATTATAGAACTATAAGCAATTTCATTCATGTCTTCAATTTCAGTTGGTTTAGCTTTTAACTCATCAGAAAATGTAGCGAGATCATCAAGAGCTTTAACAACTCTCTGTTGGACCAAAATGACCCTCATTTTCTGTTTCCATATCAAGTAATCCCCCTTTCCATCGAATTGCGATAATTCAACCCTCGAACCCATTACAGATTCTGTAAAAGAGTGGCCTGTACTCGTGGACAAAATAGAAAAGGTTTTGAAAAATTCTTTTCCAGATGATCAATATAAAAATATGAATGCCGAGTTTAAAACAATTTTAGAAATGAAGCACAACAATCACATAATCCGTCCACGAAACACAGGTATATAATGCAAGTAAATATGCTTCCAAGTAACAAATTAATCACAAGAATTCAATCAACGGAATTCACAAATAGGCAACCAAGCAATAATTATGCATAAATCAGTAAGGATACCAAACCTAACCTAACGGAGAGTTTGGAATAATCTTACCAAACTACTGTTGAAAAACAATATATATACCACCAAATTTCTGAACCAAATTGCTGTAAACGTCAAGCCAGGGGCAAAATCGTCCAATTTTTTCTGTAAAACCTGAAACAGAAAACAAACGATATCAGTGCGTTCAGGACATCGAAATAAGTAAACTGCCCGAAAAAAGCTCGCCGGAAAGTCCAGCCACGCGCCGTCGTCGGAGTCACGTGCTGCCGATCGCCGGTCCGATCACGCGCCCCACCACGGGGAGCGCCTTGGTCTGCTGGTTATGGGTCCAAGGTCAGTTTCGTCAAAAGGTCAATCGTTTGGCCGGAATTTGGATTTTCAGATTCGGCCAAAAAATGGGAATCGCGATTTCCTTGAAGTTTTTGATCGATTTTTGGACAGATTTCACTCCTCCTAGCTCTGATACCAGTTTGTTGGAATCCTTGGAGTTCAATCAAACAATAATCATCAAATAATAAAGGGTTTCAAGGCAAAATCAAAGAAAATAAGATGGAAAGATACAACCCGATCTCGGCTGAACTGTCCAGCAGTTTTCTCCTTTCTCTTATGGCTGATTTAGGCTCAGGAACAGCTCCATGTAATGCAAATCACCTTCCAAAAAGAGAGAGAGAAACCGGCAAAGAACCCACCAACCGGACCTCTTCAACCTTCAACCAAAACCGAGAGCAAAAAGGGAAGAGAGAGTCAACTTAAGAAGGGAAGAAAACCATCTCTGCCAAAAACGTGGGGGGAGCCTTATTGTGTCAACCATCAAGTCAAAACATCTCCCCCAAGACAAGGCAACACAAATATCTCAAATAGATTAAATCCCGGCCGTCGATCCCATCCAATGGTCCATAATAAAACTGAACAAAATGGAGTTAAGATAACCATATTCTCACAGAGAAACTTATTAAATTGCAGGAGGTGAATCATAAGTTGGAAAAACTAGCTCGAGCATTAAATGGGAAGGAAGAAGAAATTTATGCTGCAAAGCAAACAAATGAAGACCTGAAGTATAATTTGAAAGATAAAGAGGCTGCCGTCAAGCATCTTACATCTGCAAATGGTAAACTTTGTTTCGACTATGGTGAGAAGCTTTATAAGTGTGAAGAAGATAATAAAGAGTTGGGGTTCGCTTTGGATGAAGCAAATGCCAAGAACATGGATCGAGAGAAGCAAAATTTCTCACTTGAAGAAGAGATTGAAGGAGTTAAGAGACTTTTCACTGTTCTTCAGAAAAAGTCTTTAGAAACAGAAAATAAGGCCAAAGGTTCTAAAGAATTACAACAGAGAGATGATGTTTTACTCCAATTAGAAGAAAAACATTGAAGTTTTGAAGATAAGCTGAAATGGAAGAATGAACAATTTGGCCATTTAGAAGATGCCCATGAAAAGCTTCGACGTCATTTGCAAGTGAGCAAAAATGAGTGGGAAAAAGAAAAGGAAAAAGCTATATTGATAGATGGCATCTCTTCCTTACAATCGAATCTGGAATCTCAAATCCGAATTTCAGAAGATCTTTAGAGTCGAATTTGTATGTGCAACCAGGCTCTGGCTTATGAAGAAGGCAAGAGAAAGCTTTTGGAAGTTCAACTTTTGGAATTCAAAAATAGGTTTGACAATGTTTGTGATGAATATGAGGAGGCCAAGTTGGAAATTAAAAGCCTGACAAGTCAGAGGGATCGAGAAATTGCTACTCTAATGAGATCGCTGGGCACAAAGGAAACACTTCACAAAGAAATGCAGTATCAGTTCAACAAACTAGAGCTAGAGAAGCAAGAGTTCATGGGATCAATTAAAGAACTTCAAGAAGCTCAAATCCAGGATGCAGGAAAAGTTTTTTTTCCTTGTCTAAGCTTTGAAACAAGTTCAAGTGTCTGGAGCAGGTGCACAGGGACTATTCAGTGAATCTCAAAGCAAAAGAAGTTGAGTGGCTATTGTTAAATGAGAAATTGAAAGTGGACTTCAATATCGGCATATTTGCATTAGAAAGCAAAGACTTGTCTATAAATGAGCTCAAAAAGGAATTGGAAGCTTGTCATTCTCTGACACTAGAGCTAGAACTAGAAAATGAGGAGAACTCTACTGTTAATGGTGTTGAAATCGGAAATTTCTGAGGCCCAACTCAGGCATGCTAATAATAGTGCTCACACGGATCTGGAAAACCAAGAAATGGAAGAAACTATTTCTGCTCTAGAGGAACAGTTGGAACTGAAGAAGGAAACCCTCATCCTAGTTCAAAAAGAACTTGAGGAGGAGTGTGAGGACTGTGGTTTTGTCAAGAAAGGTGAAATCTATTGAAGATGAGCAGCTTCCCTTACACATAGAACGTGATATGCTCAAAGAATCAACTTGTCAGTTATATTCTGAAGAGCAAGTGCTGCAAATTCAGAGCGATTTGAAATCAATTCATGATGCCCTGGATAGAGCAAATGAGGAGTTGTGTGAGAAGTTGTTTGAAATAAATGAAGTTTTATTTGAATTATAGATCTGGAAATCTATTGCTGAACGGTTCAGAGCAATCATCAAAGAAAACCATAAAAAGTGTAGAGATGTAGAAGCTTCTCTTCTTGCCCAAGTAGAAGTCGAGGTCAATCTCAAATGAGAGAGAGAAAGCTACGTCATCAACTAGAAGAGAAAAATAAGAGGACAGATTATCGTCAGCAACAGATGGTTTAAACAAAATAATCAAGTCCATAGAAACTGCCAATCTGGCAGGATCAGTGACAGGAGAAAAAGAAATCTCTGTTGAAACACTCAGATGAAAAGGCCTCCAAAGGTCTTCAGAAAGAGTTGAATTGCTTGGTGCAAGAGTTGATCATTATAGAACTTGAAGCAACCATTCTCGCTCAAGTTGATAAACACCACGAACAGGAGAAAGAAACCCTCAGCCAGCTTGTTGTATCACTGAAACAGGAGTTTGAAAGTTCGACCTGTTCTTTTTCATCTCACCTAACAAAGGTGCAGGCGGAAAAGAATGCGCTCCGTGAATCTTGGGAAGAGATCAATACAGCTGTGGTTTTGAAAGAGATGGAAATTCAAGAGAAAAATCTGATAATCACAGAATTAGAACATGACTTTAATAATTTTCAGCAGAGAGTGGAAGAGCAAGAGAGATCCTTATTCTGTTCCAGAAAGAAAAGAGGGAAAATCGAAGCAGAATTAGAAGCAAAACAACTAGAAATTTACAAATTGAAATTTGAACTTAAAGAAAAGCAGCTTAGTTCAGATACTATGATTGAGAAGTTAAATGATGAAAAGGTTAAGAAACTAGTAGATTTTTCAGACTGGGAAAACTTTTTCAACAATACCATGGGTTTGCTATCTAATAAGATTCGGAAGTTATCTGTGGAAAATGATATGCAGCTAATGGAGATCTTGAGAAGGATGGTACAAATGGTGGAGAATAATTGGCCGAGGATAGAAATAAATGGTGATGATGATGAATATGACCCAGTAAAAGAGAATTTAAACATTTTCTCATTCCCCTTGATGAAGAAAGCTAAAGCCGTCCATGATCGAAGATCTCCATTGAGAGTCCTCAACAATTAACTGTTGTTTGAGCAAGAGCTACTTTTGTATTAGCTATTGAAGGAAAAAAAAATGTTTTCTTTCTTTTTTTTTCTTGAGACTACACAATTCATTTAGTTGTATAACCGATAGAATTCATTCTTTTCATAGATTTTCTTTGTGTTCTTTCTATCCGCGTTCAAGATCATTTCTTTCTTCTTAGGATTAAATTTTTGCTCAAAGTTCAGTGAGCAGTAAGTTTTTCAAAGTTCAGTCTGCAATCAAAAATATTTTTCAAAGCTTGGTGTGTTAATATTCTGAATATTAAGGTGGTCCATCATTTCCCTCATTTATTGGACATTAACCATCTTCTCATAACTGCCCATTGTGATAACCGTTTATATTCCAAAACTTCTTTGATGGGAAGAAGTTTATAAATGGAAAAGAGTGGTATTGGTTCCCAAGTCTGGATTTTTCACGAAAATACACTATCATAGAGAATTCTTGAAGAATCGGAAACACCAAATACAATTCTAAATTCTGTAGTTTAAATGTCAATGGTGGGAGATTAGTTCATGATTTTCATTTTCCACATTTGATCTATATGTTGTTTGTTTATCTATACATGATAGATCAAGATAAAGTCCAACAGTAGGTATCAGAGCCTTATTTACCTCTGCCTTGCTTGTTTTTGTTCTCTGCAATTTTCAAAAATTTTGTAGTGTTCATGATATTTTGGGTTAGACTTCAAATCCTTCTTTTGATGGAAATAAAATTAGGAATCATTGAGAAATTGGATTTCTAACATTTTGGGATTTAAGACATAAATTTAGGTGTCCGGAATGCGTAGAAATCGCAGGTTTTTATTCTAGTCGAAACTGGGTCAAAATGATCCGACCAGAGGAAGAAGACGACCTTTTAGAGTTAAAAAAAATAAAAATAATATATATATATACATATATGGTGTTCCAAAGATTGCAGAGAGACAAGCGAATTGTTGTTTGCCCACCTTTACCTCAAAAGGTTGAAACACGTGAGAGACTTGTAGTGATCCTTTTTTCTAAGCATTCTGACATATTATTTTGGATGGTTTCTTTATATATATCTGCATGGTTGGAACGCTCAGAACCTAAAGCCAATGTCAACAATAATAAATGGCGTGGGTCTTAGAGTGAATTCCAACCACTATAGTTTAAGGACAATTAATTTTGAAATGATGACACGTGTTACTCAAGTGGTTGAAAACTTAGGACTTGTTTATTGAAGACGGGTTATAAATATATACCATGTGGTTTTCTTTTAATGTGCGAAAATTATTTATTTTTGCTATTTTGTATGTATGATATTCATTGGTTTGTTATACATGCTATATTAAGTTTTTAGTACATTAAAAGTTTAGTTTTGTGCTCGTATTGTTTATGGATTTATACAATTTATATGAGCACATTTTGTAAATTATTTTATGTCGGGTGATCCATATATTTTTAATTGATTGGGGAGTAGCCACAATATCCTTAATTATGCAAAATTATATATTAAAGTATAAGATCACATAGAGTAAAGACATTAATTGTGGTTGATCATATTGAATGTAATAAATTTTATCCCACAAGAATTGTTATTATATTTGTATGATCAACTAAGATAAAATATTAAATTACTTTCCTAATTATCCACAGGAATTAGGAATTGGAACATGATTTAATAGTTTTATCATAAAGTTTATTCATAGATCTAATTGAGTAGGACTTTAGTCCACAGGCAAGTTCTATGTCACTAGATTCATATTTTAAAGTATGATTTTATATTAGCAAAATGTGATTTGATAATTTCATCATAATGTATAATTGAATATAGTTGAATTAAAAATTTAGCCAACAGACAATTTTTATGTCATTATATTCAATCTTAGCATGACTTACATTGGTCAAACATGCAATCTACTCAATAAAAACCTCAAATTAAGATAAGCATTATGCAGCTTCACAATCTGCGATTTTCTCTGATATTAAATGTGATGCTCTCGAATTAAATGGTGATAACTATAAAGTCCGGAAGGAAAGAATTTTCCTTCATTTGGGGTGGATAGATATTGATTATGCCATTAGAAAAGATGAATCAAAAATCACTCCGACCAGCACTCCAGATGAAATTGCTCTTTATGAACAATGGGAGCGATCCAATCGCCTTAGTGTGATGTTCATAAAGAACATGATTTCTACTGGTATTCGTGGTTCTGTTAAAGAGCATAATAATGTTAAGGCATTACTGAAGGCTATTGATGAGAAGTTTGAGACTTTAGATAAAGCACTTGCCAATACCCTAATTATGAAGTTTTCATCCATAAGGCTCACTACTATGAGAGGTGTGCATGAGCACATCATGCAAATGAGGGACATTGCGGCTTAGTTAAAAACTCTTGAGATTGATATGTCTGAGTCTTTCCTTGTGCACTATATTTTGAACACCCTTCCACATCAATATAGACCTTTCAAGATATCCGATAACACGCATAAGGATAAGTGGTCAATTAATGAACTTCTAACCATGTGTGTTCAAGAAGAAGAGAGACTGACAATGAAATGGATGAAAGTGCATTGATGGCAATGCAAGAAAATGACGAAAAACAAGTCAAAATGAAAGAGAAAGGTAAAATACTTTCCCAATGTGGAATTAAAAATGAATCCAAGTGTTTCTTCTACAAAAAAAAAAGGGAAATGGCTTGAGAATAAATGATAAACCAATTTCATTTGTCTGTTATGAATCTAATATAGTTGACGTTATTTATAACACATGATGGATTGATTCTAATTCTACAATCCATATTTCGAATGCCTTACAACGAATGTGATGGGAATCTCGTAGCAACGTTGACTACGAAATCCACAACGAGATTGACGAACCCAAGAAAGCCAAATTAATCCGAGAGTTTAGTATTAATCTAAAAGAAAGTCGAACAAAAAAATCCAACAAGAACAATGCTTGAAAGACCCCTTGATCACGCAATCCAAGAATTGAATCCGGTTGTTTGAACGCCACAAGTTAACACTTGATAAGTTCGAAATTGTTCAATGAAGAACGATGAAGAGAAGACAATACGCTTCACTTTAATTCAATATCAAATAAGTCAAAAGTTTTTTACAATTGAATGAAAACTCCTACTTATACTAAATCTAGAAATTAGGTAAAAATCGTGCAAAAGTCGAGCATAATTCCCAAAATATGGAAAAGAATCAAAAACTAACCAAATATGAAAAAATACCAAAAATAGAAAATTCGCCAAAAATTTGACATATGCGACCGCGACGCTCATTTCTATGCGGTCACATAGTTCAAGTAAGTTGACTTCTTTGAGTTTCAGTAAGATTTCATGCGACCGTGAGCCACTTAAGCCTATGCAACCGCATAGGCTTGGAACTTCTTCGGTTTCAGCCTTCGCTATTTAAGCGATCCAAGTTGATTCAGCCTTCGACCCGAACATGAAAGTTGCTCCATTTTGAGTCACGAACATGGTTCCGTCAATGGTTTCTTGAACGAGTAATCTCATCGCTTGTTTCACTTACTTTGACATTGATCGCGTCATCGGTCCGCATCGACTATCAACGGATCTCGTCTCGCACTTGCCTTCATCGGGCTCGACTCCTGAGTTATATCATTCCCTCCATCTTCAAAAGGATTCGCCTCGAATCTGAACCTGCATCAAACAGAGAGAGATCAGATACGTTAAAAGTAGTCGAAACATTATACTCGCATGGAAGGTCCAACTTGTATGCATTGTCGTTTATCTTTTCAATAACTTGAAATGGACCATTGCCCCACGGTTGCAACTTGGACTTCCTTTACTCCGAAAACCGCTCCTTCCTAAAGTGCACCCAAACCCAGTCTCCTGGCTCGAATGTCACGCACTTCCTACCTTTGTTCGCCTACGACGCAACCAGCTTACTTTTGTTTTCAATTTGCGCCTTTACCTTTTCATGAAGTGACTTAACCAATTCCGCCTTCTTTTTGCCATCTAAACTACCACGTTCATTCACAAGTAAAGGAATTAAATCCAAAGGAGTTAGCGGATTAAAATCATATACAATTTTAAATGGAGAATATGATGTAGTAGAGTGAACAGCTCAATTAATTCAACAAATAGTAGACACTCCCCCAACTTTTCAAATTTTTATTGATTACTGTGCGCAAAAATTGTGTCATGGTCGTATTCACCATCTCGATTCCCATTCGTTTGTGGGTGACAAATTGTGAAAAATAGTAATTTAGTGCCTAATTTACCCCCACAAAACTCTCCACAAGTGACTTAAAAATTTGACATCCCGATCCGACACAATGCTTCTAGGAACCCGATGTAACCGCACAATCTTTTTAAAAAATAAGTCAGCAATGTTCGTGGCATCGTCCGTTTTGTGACATGGTATAAAATGTGCATTTTGCCGAACCTATCTAGAACCACAAAAATAGAATTCCGACCTCTCTTAGTCCTTGGTAAACTCAAAACAAAGTCCATCGAGATATCAACTCAAAGCTCACTAGGTGTAGGTAAAGGTGTGTACAAACCTTGAGGTAAAATCTTAGACTTAGCCCTTTCACAACCTATGCATCGACTACAAATTCGCTCAACATCACTTTTCATCTTAGGCCAATAAAAATGCTCCTTCAATACATCTAAAGTCTTTTGAACCCTAAAGTGTCCCATCAATCCACCACTATGTGCCTCCCTTATTAACAACTCCCGAACAGAACAATTTGGAACACATAACCTATTTTCCTGAAATAAATACCCCTCATGCCTAAAGAACCTATCAACCTCCCATTTAATGCATGACAAATAAATATCCGAAAAATTAATATCTTTTTCATATAATTCCTTAATATGTTCAAACCCAAGTAACTTAAAATCAAGAGTAGTTAGCAATACATACCTTCGCGACAACACATCCGTCACCACATTTTCCTTACCTTACTTATACCGAAAAACGTATGGAAACGTCTCGATGAATTTCATCCACCGCGCATGCCTCTTGTTCAATTTACCGTGTCCTCGCAAGTACTTTAATGACTCATGATCGATGTGTATTACGAGCTTCTTCGATCATAGATAGTGTTGCCAAGTCTCCAAAGCTCGAACAAGTGCATAAAGTTCTTCGTCATATGTAGGATAATTTAAACCAGCTCCACTCAACTTCTCGCTGAAATATACATTAGGCCTCCGATCCTGCATTAAAACTGCTCCAATTCCTATTCCTGATGCATCACACTCAATCTTGAATGTTTTGTCAAAGTTAGGTAATGGCAAAACAAGTGCTTCACACAATCTATTTTTAATAGTATTAAATGCAAGTTCATGTTCATCACCCCAATGAAAACCTACACTCTTTTTAACTACTTCCGTGAGTGATGCAGTGATAGTGCTAAAATCTTTCACAAAATGCCTATAAAACCTAGTCAAACCATTAAAGCTCCTAACGTCCGTTATGCTTTTAGGTGTCAGCCAATCTCTAATAGCTTTTATCTTTTCATCCTCTACTTCTACTCCATTAACACTAACCACAAATACAAGAAATATAACTCTGTCCATACAAAATTTGCATTTCTTAAGATTAGCATAGAGTTGTTCTTTCCTTAAAACAATTAGCATACATTTTAAATGTTCCAAATGCTCTCCTAGGTTTTTGCTATAGATTAAGATGTCCTCAAAATAAATTACAACAAATTTTCCTATAAAGGCGCATAAAACATGATTCATTAAGCGCATAAAAGTGCTAGGTGTATTTGTGAGTCCAAACGGCATAACCAACCATTCATATAAACCATATTTAATTTTAAAATCCATTTTCCATTCATCACCCTCCCGCATACGAATTTGATGATACCGGTTTTTTAAATCAATTTTAGAAAATATGCAAGCACCATGTAATTCATCAAGCATGTCATCTAACCTAGGTATAGGGTAACGATACTTTACCGTTTGTTATTGATAGTCCTACAATCCACGCACATTCGTCATGTTCCATCCTTTTTTGGTACAAGCAAAATCGGTACCGCACAAGGACTCATGCTTTCCCTCACGTATCATTTGCTCATCAACTCCTCCACTTGTTTTTGAAGCTCCTTAGTTTCCTCGGAGCTGCTTCGATAAGCCGGTCGATTTGGAATGACAGCTCCGAGTATGAAGTTAATTTAATGTTCAATGCCTCGAATAGGCAGCAATCCACTTGGTGCATCCTCTAGAAATACGTCGTTGAATTCCTGTAACAAAGACTTAGCCAAACTAGGGAAGGGTGGGTTAGTTTCTTCAAAATGGACGAGTGATTCCTTATACACGAACAAGATCGTCTCTTCTCTCAACTACCGCCCTCCTCAAATCACTCTCTTTTGCAAAAAAATTTGCTCGTGTTTTCTCTCTTCTTTCGGAACACTCTCTTTCTTTTCTCTCTTGTGATCGCTCTTTCTTTTTCTCTCTAGTGGCTATCCCAACATTTTCTCTAACTCACCACTTTCTATCATTTTTTTGACTCCTTGGCTCTTCTCTCTTCCTCACTTATCAATTTTAATTAGTCCTCATAGACTTGTGCCGGTATTAATGACACAAGAGTAATGGTCCTTCCATCCTTAATGAAACTATATCAATTTTTGTACCCATCATGCATGGCCTTCCTATCGTATTGCCATGGTCGCCCCAATAAAATATATCCCGCTTGCATTGGCACCACATCACACACTAACTCATCCTTATAACTCCCAATTGACAAATTAATTAACACTCTTCGATTCACCCTCACCTCGTCACTCTCATTCAACCATTGCAATTTATAAGGTCTCGGGTGTCTCAACAGTGTTAAACCCAACTTTTCTACAAGAATTACTCTAGCTACATTAGTGCAACTACCACCATCAATTATAACACTACATACCGTATTGTTGACGTGGCATCGAGTGTGGAAAATGTTCTCCCATTGCAACTCCAAGTCATTTGCTTTGACGTGAGGAGTAAGAGCTTGTCTCGTGACTAGTAGATCCCCAACTGGCCCTTCAACTTTTTCTTCTTCACTAACATCTTCCAACGTCGACATGTCATCAAACTCGCCATCACTATCGCTCGCTATCTCCCCATTATCCCGCAACACCATCGCCCGTTTTTTTGGGCATTGAGAAGCAATATGCCCCGTTCGCAAACACCTAAAACATTTGATGTCCCGATTGCGCGACGGTTGTGCCTCCAGTTTTGATATTGGTTTGCTAGCATTTTCATCCTTACCCTTTTGCGAATCACTTTTACCTCTAGGTACAACCCCGTTTTTGTTGTTGTCATCCCACTTCGATTTCCATGTTGAATTAGAATTCGAAGTACCCAACGATTCCCTAGACATCCCCTTCCTCTTCAATTGCCTCTCGACCTTCATTGC